ATTTATAGATTCAATGCTATCGCCATCAAGCTACCAATGACCTTCTTCACAGAACTGGAAAAATACCACCTTAAACTTCATGTGGAACCAAAAGAGAGCCCACATAGCCAAGTCAATTCTAAGCAAAAGGAACAAAGCAGGAGGCATCACACTACCTGAACTCAAGCTATACTACAAGGCTACAGTAATCAACACAGCATGATGCTGGTACCAAAACAGAGATATAGACCAATGGAACAGAACAGAGGCCTCGGAGGCCACCCCACACATCTACAACCATCTGATCTTTGACAACCCTCACAAAAACAAGCAATGGGGAAAGGATTCCCTGTTTAATAAATACTGTTGGGAAAACTGGCTAGCCATGTGCAGAAAGCAGAAACTGGACCCCTTCCTGATACCTTACACTAAAATTAACTCCAGTTGGATTAAAGACTTAAACATAAGACCTAACACCATAAAAACCCTAGAAGAAAACCTAGGCAAAACCATTCAGGACATAGGAATAGGCAAGGACTTCATGACTATAACACCGAAAGCATTGGCAACAAAAGCCAAAATAGACAAATGGGATCTAATTAAACTCCAGAGCATCTGCACAGCAAAACAAACAATCATTAGAGTGAACCAGCAACCAAAAGAATGGGAAAACATTTTTGCAATCTACCCATCTGACAAAGGGCTAATATCTAGAATTTACGAAGAACTAAAACAGATTTACAAGGAAAAAAAAAACAAGGCCGTTCAAAAGTGGGCAAAGGATATGAACAGACACTTTACAAAACAAGACATATATGAGGACAACAAACATATGAAAAAATGCTCATCATCACTGGTCATTAGAGAAATGCAAATCAAAACTACATTGAGATACCATCTCATGACAGTTAGAATGGTGATCATTAAAAAATCTGGAGACAACAGATGCTAGAGAGGATGTGGGGAAATAGGAACACTTTTACACTGTTGGGAGTGTAAATTAGTTCAACCATAGTGCAAGACAGTGTATCGATTCCTCAAGGACCTAGAAATAGAAATTCCATTTGACCCAGCAATCCCATTATTGGGTATATATCCAAAGGATTATAAATCATTCTAAGGACACATGCACACGAATGTCATTGCAGCACTGTTTACAATAGCAAAGACTTGGAACCAACCCAAACACCCATTGATGATAGACTGGACAGGGAAAATGTGGCACATATATACCATGGAATACTATGCGGCCATTAAAAATGATGAGTTCATGTCCTTTGTAGGGACATGGATGAACCTGGGAACCATCATTCTCAGCAAACTAACACAAGAACAGAAAATCAAACACCGCCTGTTCTCTCTCATAGGTGGGTGTTGAACAAGGAGAACACATGGACGCAGGGAGTGAAGCATCACACACCGGGGTCTGTTGGGGGAAACTAGGGGAGGGACGGCAGGCAGTGGAGAGTTGGGGAGGGATAATGTGAGGAGAAATGTCAGATACTGGTGATGGGGAGGAAGGCAGCAAACCACATTGCCATGTATGTACCTATGCAACAATCTTGCATGTTCTTCACATGTACTCCCAAATCTAAAATGCAATAAAATACATATTAAAAAAAAAACAAGTATATTGTAAATGCATATCACTAGTTGCTAGCAAAAAAAGATGAAAGGAAATTAATATTATAGACCATATTTACTAACTCATTGTTATTTTAAAAAACTGTTCTTAACTTTCCACTAATGGCAATATAATAGCTGAGGGCTTTCACTCAAAGGCACCAAGTCAGACCCTTTTACTTATCTAATTATAGTCTGACAACTTTGTAAGGTAGATGGCACACCTAATTGGCATATAGAAAAACTGAGGCTCAAAGAAGTTAGCTAACTTGTCAAAAATTACATGGCTGCTAACTAAGTAGAGAAGCAAGGAATCAAACCCAAAGAATGTAAGCCCTCAAAGACTACATCTGCAAAAGAACAAACTGACTAGCTAGAAGTAGAATCACACCTTCAAAACTGTATTCAAGATTAACAATTTTACATAGTAGAAATATCTAATTTTGAAAATCTGTATTAAAATGGTTCTTAAGTTCTCTCTTAAGTTCTTAAGTTTCTTTTTAAAAATAAATACTTATAAAATGACCGACCTGGATAGCAAAATATCACTACCATAGGGGGAAAGGGACAAAATTTTTTAGGGTAAAAGAAACTAGAGACATAACAAGTAAATGCAACACACAGCCCTTAATTGAGTCCTGGTAGAAACAAACTGACTAAAAATATATTGGGCAAAACTGGGAAAATTTGAGTATTAACTCAATTTTAGATTATATGTTTGAATTATTAATGTTGCTATAGGTTGATAGTGTTGTGTTACAAAAGAAAGGCTTTTTAGAGATAAATGGTGAAATAGAGAGTAGCTGTTACAATTTCTGTAGTTTACCTTAAAATACTTCAGCAAAACAATTAAAATGTATAGCAAAATGTTACAATTATGAAAACTAGGGAATTAGTATATAGTTGTAGATTGGACTATACTTCTCACTTTTCTATATGTTTGAATATTTTTCAAGACAAAAAAATCAAAAAAAATTAATTGCTTGTATTTAAAACTTCAGTGTTCATTTTTCAGCTTTAAATACTGTCCTGCACCAGTACTTGGCACCACATTACTTTTTTAAATCCTCTGTCCTTTATTAACTTGTCTTATTGACAAGGAAATGTGGTGTTCCATCACATTAACTGTCAGAAGGCAATTACTCTGCTTACTTTGAGAGTCCAACAGGAAAGAGTGGATCATCTGTTCCTGTTGGGAGGACCTGGGCCATGGCTTTTCATTTCTCCATAAGTGCCATCAATCACTGTTGCACACACATCAGGCACATAAGTTTCTCATCAAGAACCTCTGATCGTCATTGTGTTCGTCAGGAAGAAATTGATGTACAAAGAACTACTGTCTACCTCAGCAAACCACAACTATTCTTTTCTTTAAAAGCAAATTCCTTGACACAGGTGACCTTATCTTAAATCTAATAAATTTCCTATTTCCAAAAAGCTCAACTGGAGAGTTATAAAACTTGAAAATTCTCTTGTGCTTTCTCTTATTTTGCTTCTAGTTGCCATCCTCAAAGGATTGACTAAAAGCAAGCAATTGGATTGAACACCCTAAGAAGAAAGTTTTGCACTGCACCAGGTATGTGGATATTTTTTCTAAATTCCAATTCTAGATTCTAATAAACTAAATAGCTTTCAAGTATATACATATCTTAATATGTATATTAAGATATAGCAACAGTTGTTCTGACAGAGTTATTCTCCTCTTTTCTCATGAACTGCCAAACTGTGTGATAACATTCATTCATATGTTATTAGAACAAAATGTGATTGGTAGGAATGTTTATTCGTCTCGAAAATAAAAAATAATCTGACAATGTATTGGGAAACTGAAGAATAATAAGTAACATTTCTTTTTTCAATTGGGTCAGATTGTTTTCTTCTTAGTATGCCAGTACTATAATAATACCACTGAGACTTTATTATGGATAAGGCATTATTCTCAGCATTATTTGTAATACATATTATTCCAGTCAATACTCAGGACATTCTTATGACATCAGATTGCAACTCACTCAAAGTCATGCAGTGAGTGGCAGAGTCACACAATAAGTGTGCAGAGCTTAACTCAAGTCTCTGACCGACTCTAACACCATTTTATAAACCACAGGATTTTATTGTAAAGTGTGTCTAATCTGACAGCCCACCACCACATTGACATGCACACTAACTTACCTGCTCTAATATGTCATCTGTCTATATGATTTAACCTTTACTTTTTTTCTAAAGCTGATAAGCTGACATGTACAAATTACATATATAACCAAAATGAGAAAAATAAAAGACTACATTATTTTTATCTCACTCTTCCCTTCTACGACCTATAGTCAAAATACAATTCTCTTTTGCAAGCTGTTATTTTCAAAGGTATTAAGTCTGCACTATGTATTAGGCATGATGATATAACAATGAATAAAGCAAAATTCCTGTCATTTTGGGATTTAAGAAAAGGATATCAGCCAGACACAGTGGCTCACACCTGTAATCCCAGCATTTTGGGAGGTCGATTTGGGTGGATTGCTTGAACCCAGGAGTTCAAGACCAGCCTGGGCAACATGGAGAAATCCTGTGTCTACAAAAAGATAAATAATAATAATAATAACAATAAGCAGGAGTGGTGGGGTATGACTGTAGTCTCAGCTACTAGGGTGTCCAAGGTAAGAAGATTGCTTGAGCTTGGCTGGTGCAGGCTGCAGTAAGCCATGAGCATGCCACTTCACTCCAGCCTGGACAACAGAGTGAGAACCTGTCTTTAAAAAAGGTAACAGAAAAAGGATCTCAAATGTCAAAATCTTCAGAATTAAATTAGGGGAAGAGTCCATTTGACATGGTTCCTTGTTCCAAGTGACAGCCTCATGTCACAGAGACAAAGAGCATCTTCCTACTACATCAGGAATCTTTACAAAACAGTGCAGTATTCGGTCATTTATATGATGGTTTCCCAGAGAGAGGGAGAGAGAGAGAGAGAGAGAAAGGGAGAGAGAGAGAGAGAGACAGAGAGAGACAGAGAGAGAGAGAGAGAGACAGAGAGAGAGAGAGACGTCTTGAATTAGAATAGAAATAAGAAGATCATTTCCTTCTCTTATTGCTAAACTTCCTAAGATCCTGCCTTTCCTAGCCAATCTTTAATATCAGTAGAAAAATGCTCATTTGGCAAACTACTTAGAAAAATCTTGACTCTCCTCCATTGCTTCCTCTTTAAAATAGTGTGTTTTATGCCTGAAGCAATTTTGCATCACCCCATGGAATTCAAATGTAAAGCTAATTTTCAGAAACCATTGGCCTCTTTTAGCCTGTACTTTCTAATAAGGATAAGTCATTTATCAAAATGCATTCCTCTCCCATAATACATAACTAATAGTAAGCCAAGTTTCTGCTTTTCCCAGGAGACATCAGAAAGAATGGAAACTCTGCCGCTGTTTGTGTGCATCTGTGCACTGAGTGCTTGCTTCTCGGTAAGTATCTACCCAAATAAGATTTTTTCTTTGAGTATCAATAGTACCTACCTGGGATTTTTAAAGCATAATAAGCAATCCCTATTTCCAAGAAGCTTGACATCTTTTATTTCCATGAAACATAAAAATATAGATAATTGGCCACTGCAGTGGCTCACACCTGTAATCTCAGCACTATGGGAGGCCAAGGAGTGAGGATCACTTGAGCTCAGAAGTTGAAGACCAGCCTGAGAAAAATAATGAGACTGTGTCTCTATAAAAAAACAAAAAAATTTCAGTTAGCCAGGTATGATGGTGCATGCCTGTAATCCCAGCTACTCGGAGGCTGAGGTGGATCTTGAGCCTGGGAAGTCAAGGATGTGGTAAGCTGTAATCAACCACTGTGCCCCAGCCTGGTCAGCAAAATGAGACTCCGCCTTAAAAATCTAGATAGATAGATGATAGATAGATAGATAGATAGATAGACAGAGCATAAGGAAATAATTTGTTTTATTTATCCAATATCTATAGAGCACAAACTTTATAATGAGTTTGATGAGATCTGACAGAGATAAAACTCAGATTCGTAAGGCCTTTAGGTCTTGGTATGGAATATGGATTAAAATCTGTCAGAGAGTCTCAACATATTCAAAGCACCCCCAGGGGAGTAACATGATGGGATTCTCAGGAGAAAACAGGTAGCAGGGAACAAAAGCTGAGATGAGGAGACTTAGTCAGGAAGCTATGGCAGTGGTCCAGATAAAAGATGATGGTGACTTGAACTAAATGTCAGCAGTTAAAAGATGAGAGAGGGTTTAGGATACATTTTTGTGATTGATTCTACTATATCATCTGCTGGATTGTGTATGTAGTAAAAGAAAAAAATGAACAAGCCTGTAATCCCAGCACTTTGGGAGGCCGAGGCGGGTGGATCATGAGGTCAAGAGATCGAGACCATCCTGGTCAACATGGTGAAACCCCATCTCTACTAAAAATACAAAAAATTAGCTGGGCATGGTGGCGCGTGCCTGTAGTCCCAGCTGCTCGGGAAGCTGAGGCAGGAGAATTGCCTGAACCCAGGAGGCGGAGGTTGCGGTGAGCCGAGATCGCGCCATTGCATTCCAGCCTGGGTAACAAGAGCAAAACTCCGTCTCAAAAAAAAAAAAAAAGAAAGAAAGAAATGAACAGGCCAAGTACCTTGACTCAGGCCTATAGTTTCAGCACTTTGGGAGGCTGAGGTGGGCAGATCACTTGAGGTCAGGAGTTCGAGACCAACCTGGCCAATATGGCACAACCCCATGTCTGCTAAAAATACAAAAATTAGCTAGGAGTGGTGGCTGGCTACTCGGAAGGCTGAGGCAGGAGAATTACTTGAACCTCACTTGCAGTGAGCTGAGATCATGTCACTGTACTCCAGCCTGGGCAACAGAGCAAGACTGTCCCCCCCGCTCCAAAAAAAATGAACAAAAATGTTCTAGTTTGGGGCATGTTACATTTGAAATGGCTGTTAGATTTCTACATTGAGATATTAAGAAGAAAGTAGATATATATTGTCTGGAGTTCAGAAAGCAATCTAGGGGTAAAGTCTATATTTAAAACATATTTGAAGCCATGAGACCTTACAAGATCACCTACAGAGAAAATGTAGGACATTTGGATATGGATTGAGAAAATGGAGTAGTCACAAGAGTGGACAAGAAAGTATGGCTTCCAAAACCAAGAGAAGATTACAAAGTGGACCTTCTATCTTTAAGAAATTTAGGGTGTACTGGCAAAGGCAGATTAAAATTAATAATGATACAAGGTGATTACAAGGTGATACATGCTGTAATAATAAAAATATTTTTCTCTAATACTATGTACCTATAAGTATTTATTCAATTTTGTTTTAACACAACTTCAAATAAGGATCAAGAAGTGGAATGTACTTTTATTGAATGACGATAGATAGCCTCAGAATATTATGCCAGCAGAGCAGACAGGGCAGAAGAACTGAGGAAGTGGATGGAATTTACTCTTGAATATTCTCTTATTTCCTACTTACCATATAATAGCCACCAAAAAACAACCTTAGGCCTTTTCCCTGGACCCTAATTCTGATTTTGTGACTGTAGAAGAGCGTTCAAGTTGGGCTCAGAAGATGTGGGCTCAAACTCATCTCTAATGTTTATCATCCAGATGAATCTTGAGCAATTTAGAATCTATTTACAGGGTCCCAATTTCCCTATGTGTAAAATAATAATAACACTGTATGCTTCACAAGGCTGCTGAAGGGTAAATGGGAATTTATAAATTATAAAATATAGCGTAAATGTAAAAATTATGGCTTAAGACTATTGTGATCTTAACTAACATACTAGTTGATAAGGCTTTAAGTTCTGAATACACACAGTGATGTTAACATTTTTAATAATTTAAATATTAATAAGGAATCTCTGGCTACCAATACCTCTCTATTGAAAGAAATAACTTTCCAATCAACACAAATAATTATGTTATGTGGAATGATGAAACCTGAGTTTCTCTTCGGAGGTGGCCTTTCCTCATACCTCCTACAAATCAAGACACCTAAAGAATCCTTTCTTCCAAGTTCTTAGAATAGGTAAAACTCTTTAAACTTCCCAAATCTCAAAAAGTGAGCCAAGATAGCGCCCCTGCACTTTAGCCTGGGCAACAGAATGAGACTCTGTCTCAAAAAAAAAAAAAAAAAAGAAAAAGAAAAGAAAATACAGAGATGCACCAGAGAGTAGCATCAACCCACAGCCAGGAAAGGTCAGCCCTGGAGCTCTAGCAACAACCTGCTTTTATGGAGTGATTTCAAGGAGTGGATAGTCACAGATTTTCAAATGGTCCTAAAAGATAAGCTAGTAGCAAATGAAGAAGTTTAATGTGCTTTCTAATTTCAGTTAAATTAAATCTTGTGCTGGGTGTGGTGTCTCACACCTGTAATCCCAGCACTTTTGGAGACCAAGGTGGGCAGGTCACCTGAAGTCAGGAGTTCAAAACCAGCCTGGCCAACATGGTGAAATTCTGTCTCTACTAAAAGTACAAAAATTAGCCAGGCGTGGGATGCACACCTGTAATCCCAGCTTCTGGGAAGGCTGAGGCAGGAGAGTCCCTTGAACCCGGAAGGCGGAGGTTGCAGTGAGCTGAGATCACGCCACTACACTCCAGCTGGGTGGCAGAGAGACTCCATCTCAAAAAAAAATTTTTTTTAATGTAATCTTGACCTTGTACTCCTCTAGTTCTCTTCCTTTCTATTTCTTTTTCTTTTTTCATTTATGCCTATTTCTTTCATGACAATTTTCCCTGCTCTTCCTTCCTCAGATAATTTGACATTCCTCTAGTGATTTTTAAAGTTTTCTGCTCTCTCATACCCCTTCTTTCTTGCTCTCCTTCTCCTTCTGTGACTCCAGCCTGTTGCAGAAAATTTTACCTGACAAGAAACCCAAGCGGCACTCAGGGAAACTGAGGAACACACTTTATTATGCCGGTGGGCCCAGAAGGGTTCACACCCAAAAGTCTGGACCCTGGCTAAGAAAAGTACACAGTTTTTATAGGTGAAGGGGTAGGGGAAGTAACTCAGAACTTTAGACGACGCGGCAGTTTTCCTTAAGGTTTTTAGCTAGTAAGCAATAAGCTGAGGTACAGAAGCAGAAAGAGGCAGTTATTAGCAGAAAAACAGGGGAAGTTTTAAAATAGGCAAGTTGCTGACTATGTGCTAACAAAATCCTGGGCAAAATTTCCACTTCAAGCCAACTCTCTCCTTGTTCCTTGTGTCTTCTCCCTCTTCTCGCCTCTCAAAAGTGCGGTTTGCAAATGGAGAATCATTCTACAAAAAGTTACTTAGTCTGAGACTTATTTTCCCATCCGTATAATGAAGATAATAACAGTACGCACCTTATGATATTGATAAGAAATTAAATAAATTTGCATTTGTAAGCCACGTAGAATAGGGCCTAACATAAAATAGGTGTTACATAAAGACTTTTTTAATAAAAATAAATAACAGATGTGAACAGGCAGGCAGGGTTGCTATCTTTCATACACTGTCCCTTGCATATCTCCATTCATTATAAGCACCTCCATACTTCGATCATCTAAACTCAAAACTTTAGAGACATGTATTTTTAACTCCTTCCTCTCTCAGACTTCTCTAATACACAAGTTCTGTTGTAGCCACCTGTAAATGCCAATCACAATGACTAATCAATATATTAAGTAAATCAAACAAACTGGTCATTTGATACATGTTCCAGGCCAACCTAACATTAAAATTAATGGGGTTTTAATTAATTTGCCTTCGTATAAAAATGTAGTAGGTATTATTTTGGTCACCTAAACTAAAATAGTTGAAACTATTTTACATATGAATAAACACTTTTAAATTTTAACATTTTATTCAATAAGAAATTAGTTATTGTTATCATTTCACGCATTTACTCATTCAATTAATAGCTAATGAGTACCTGCCATATTCAAGACATAGTTTTAGATATTGGGCTTACAGAGGTGAATGAAACAGGGACCTTTGTGAGGCTGATGTGATTAAGGGAATGAACCACATAACTATTTTAAAGCAAAGAGGTCGTAGAATTGGACTTTGGATCTGGAATTTAATTTAAACCAAATCATTTCATGAATAAGCTGACATCCAGTCACATTAAGTGACTTACCCAAAGTCACTCAGCTATTCAGTGGCAGACACAGGACAGAAGCAAACTTCCACTGCTAGTCTGTTGTGGTGTGTTTCAAACATGTTCCTCTGAGATCTGGACATTCTTCACAACATCCTCAGAGACCATCTGGAAAGGGAGAGACTGAGATCCTGGAATGTGAGGCCTCAATCCTGCTTCAATCAGAGCAGGTCTCTAATTATCTAGATTGCATATTGAATCTCCAGGGAAAGATCCATTTGAACAATATGACTTGTTTATTTTATATGAGAAAACGACTACCCCTTTAATGGAAAGGATCTCCTCAGAGATTCCTGGAGTCAGTGTTACTGAGTCTGAAAATCTACGCCCTTTTAAGAGAGATCTATGGAAAAATACCAAAGTCATGAGTATCAGAAGCCATTGTGTTATCTAATGGCTGTTCTCAGTTATGAATTAAAGTTCCTGGATAAGTTAACTTTCTTTTTTTTTTTTTTTTTTTTTTTTTTTTGAGACGGAGTTTCGCTCTTGTTACCCAGGCTGGAGTGCAATGGCGCGACCTCGGCTCACCGCAACCTCCGCCTCCTGGGTTCAGGCAATTCTCCTGCCTCAGCCTTTCGAGTAGTTGGGATTACAGGCACGCGCCACCATGCCCAGCTAATTTTTTGTATTTTTAGTAGAGACAGGGTTTCACCATGTTGACCAGGATGGTCTCTATCTCTTGACCTCGTGATCCACCAACCTCGGCCTCCCAAAGTGCTGGGATTACAGGCGTGAGCCACCGCGCCCAGCCGGATAATTTAACTTTCTAAACAAACAATACTTTCTTGTATTGATAGATGTTGTAAAGAATGTCTAGATCTTAGAGGAACATGTTTGAAACACACTGCAACAGACCATCAGTGGAGGTTTGAGTCTGTCCTATGTCTGCCATTAAATAACTGAGTGACTTTGGGCAAGTCATTTAATATGCCTGGATCTCAGTTTATTCATTTATGAAATGATTTGTATTAAATTCCAGATCCAAAGTCTAATTCTATGACCTCTTTGCTTTAAAATAGTTATGTGGTTCATTCCCTTAATCACATGAGTCTCACGAGAGTCCCTGTTTCATTCACCTCTGTAAGCCCAATACCTAGAAACTATTTTTGAGGCTGGATATATTAGTCTCTGAGGAAGTTATCTTAGTTAAACAACTCTGCCAGTCTCTCAGAAGTTGTCATTTCATCACACTAAACTTTGTATCCAAAGAGAGTTTATAACTTGGGACTGGAATAATTTACCCATTTGGTGATCTAAAAAGAGTTCTGTGGGACTCATTAGGAAGAAAACCTATCCTTGTTTGGGACTTTGGTATTTTCTCCTTTATCTTGTTAATATTTCTTTTCTCTAATTTAATATAACTAATCACTAAAAAAATGTAATATGAGATTGAATACAGGGAAGAGGGATATAAAAGGCATGCAGTATGTTTACAGATAAGAAACTGAAACGGTGATGGTACTTAACTCAATTAATGTCATCAGTGGCCAAAGGAAATAAAAATATTCATCTTGCAAAATCTAAGACCCACGTGGCATAGAAGTTATTTTCAAATTTTGAAGGACTCCTGGATCTTCTGTACATCTGCCAAAACATAAAATTAGTTCCAAAGAATGGAAATCTTCATGAAGAAATTTCTATTCAGTTAATAATGGAAATCCCCAAAAACAAACCTACATTCAGTATCAAGAACTCTCTACCAGGCTGCCTTAGGAATGACAGTAGTGAGTTCCTTATCAGAAGAGGATAGATGCATAGGCTAGAAAGCCTTTTTCAGGTGTATTGAAAAAAGATCAAGCATCAGATGAACAGTTAGACTAGATCAGTGTTCTTTTCAGATGTAAATACCTTTGAGAAATCATGAAAACCACTGGTGCTCTAACCAGAAAAATGCATAAACATGCAAATTTTCTCTAAAAATCAGATGATTCATGAACCCCCTGAATCATGAATTCTGTAATTCTAAGTTTTTAAATAATAAAATTAAACGGGAATGACCAAAGTTGTTTCTCTGATTTATAAAGGCTAAAAACTGTTTCCTGAAATATGGAGAACACAAAGCTGGGGTGGGACGTTTCATTTGTTGAGGCTTTTGCTGTTGTTTGACAGTTTCATGTTTTGATGATAGTAGATATGAGGGGTGTAATTCAAAAAGGGCTTCTGGGTCTCAGATGAATGTCTTTGACTAAAGTTTTGTGAACAGGCTGAGCAAGCAGGGAGCCTTTTTGCCGGCACCTCAGGCAGTAACTTGACCATTTTCTACCAGAGAAAGAAGAGAGGGACCATAAGCATAAAAGTTCATGTCCAGCTAAGCATTCAAGCTAAAGTCCACAAGAATATATTCATCCCAACTATCTAGAGAGTAGACAGTTGACAAAAGAAAATTCTCTAGTAGCAATTCTTTCTTGAAACGTAGTGAAATTAGGAAGCTAATCACTTGACTTAAAAATGTATTCTGGTTTCTAATCCCAAAACTCCACAAATACTGTTCACCTCATGGTCAGCAGTGATCACCTAATTGATGAATAAATGGATACTTTTTTCATTTCTTATGTTTTCTTTCTTTTCTGCAGTTCAGTGAAGGTCATAAAAGGGATCACGGACTACGTCACAGAAGGCATTATCACCATTTTCCCGAACATCACTTTAAATTACCACCTCATTTTGGACCACCAGCTCACCAGAGGCCAGTCAATAAAAACCCCTATAGGTGTCTACACAAACGCTGCAGGCCTAAGCCTCCACCTTCACCTATTAAACCCCCACAAAAATTCCCAAATCCTCACCAGCCACCTAAACTTCCAGATAAAAATGGCAGTGTGGTCAACCCTACCATATTGGTTACAACCCAAATTCCAACTACGAGTTCCCTATCTGCTTCCACCAAAATTACTACCCTTCCAAATGTGACTTCTCTTCCTCAAAATGTTTCCATCACGTCTCCAGGAGAAAATGTTAACCCAAGCTCTTCTGTAACCACATTAACACCAGAGAATTCCTCAACTCCAACAGAGGCCACAACTGCCCCATCCACACCTCCTGCAACTACACCAGCTCCACCACCTTCCTCAGCTCCACCGGAGACCACAGCTGCCCCACCCACACCTTCTGCAACTACGCCAGCTCCACCACCTTCCTCAGCTCCACCGGAGACCACAGCTGCCCCACCCACACCTTCTGCAACTACACCAGCTCCACCACCTTCCTCAGCTCCACCGGAGACCACAGCTGCCCCACCCACACCTTCTGCAACTACACCAGCTCCACCACCTTCCTCAGCTCCACCGGAGACCACAGCTGCCCCAGTTACCACACCTAATTCTTCCCCAACTACTGTTACACCTGACACAACTACACCCACACAGCAAACTACTTCTTCAGTCACTACTCAAACTACTACTGCCCGCCAAAATAAAATTTCTCGATTTCTTTTATATCTAAAGAAACTACTAGACAAAATGATTGATGATGCAGTGGAGAAATAGTATATTATATGTTGTAAAGTGTTCTGTCATTTTCAAGATGTGATTTATGAGTACAGAACTACCATCTTTACTTTTAGCACCAATTGCAAGATGAAATTTTATTACTCAAATTTAAAGCACTACCACTAACCTTTCAATCTAATTATTCACCTTCACAAGACCTATTAATAAGACAAACTGCCTCTATCCCACAAGCCAGGTGCAGGTCTGAGATTCAAAATCACTCTTTGGGGCCTGCAGAGATAGCCTACCGAGGGCAGAGAAAGTCCTTAGATAAAGAGAGAATATTGTATGGGTCATCAAACATTTACTGCTCCCTAAATGTTGGAAACTACAAGATCACTACCTTGTACCCCCATCAAAATCCCACCTGAACCATCTAATCCTATAAACATAAAGGGATAAAGTTGGATCTCTCCAGATGAACAAAGACATCTAAATATCTGTAGATAGAAACATTTATCTATCTAAATCTATTGGTAGACCTGTCGTTGTATTGTTGATTAATGACAAACCCTTTACATAATTATCTTCAATTTTAAATAAAATTTTATTTCACAAAGTGTGAGCCAAGAAAGGGGAAAGTTGATTGGAAGTGAAGATTAGAATTGGCCTGGCAGCCAAGCATGAACCAAGACTGGCACTATTTTTCTGAGTGTATATAATTGTTTGAACTGCAAGGTTGATATTTATTTCATTGTATCTAAGTTAACTTAGATCTAATGTACTTGAGTCTAGCCTCTGTGAACTGTAAGAATACAACTTTGTATGTTCACATGGTGCTCATAATATTTCACTCTCAATTTAATTAATTCACATAAATTCCATGTGAAATGTATTCAACAATGAAATATTTTCTAAAACATTTAACATATATTTGCATGTATTTTAAAACATGCCAAACTACTGCTTTAATACCAAGTTTGCAGAATTGTCTCTGAAAATAAAAGCCCTGACTTTAGTTGTTAAAAAAGAAAAGTTCGGTATATAGAGATGTTCATTTGGGATGTGGAGGCATTTTTATCTTCTGTCACTACTACTTAAAACTCTGATGATTATGTTTAATTTTTTGCTAACTAATAAAGATTCCAAATGGCAATTTATATTCACCTTGTGTACCTGGAAGTTTCTTGCCTTTCTTAGTCTCTGAGACCAGTGAAAAGAGACCTAAATGAAGATTTACATTTTTGTCAACTCTGTCACTAATCAGCCAAGTGACTTGGGTAGGACACTCTGTCTCTAAACATTAATTTTCTTTATTCTACAAAGTGATTAATTTACTTAAATTAACTTAATCTTATTAATATATATTTCCAATCCATTATGTGTGTGCCCTATGCTTCTCAAGCTGACAATTAAAGATCCCATCTCCCTCACTTTACTCTGTCCACCTAGGCTCATCTTGGTAGCTCTGTACAGATCAGCCCATGACCGATCACTGCAGGAATACTGAAATCTGACCATTTCTGCCCAAAGTAGAACTCCTGCAACAGGCAGTCTTTACTTCAGAACCAACTCTCCTATTTGGCCTGTGCAGAAGACAAATGGATCTTGGAGACTTTACAGTAGATTGTCATGAGCTTAACTGAGTGGTGACTCCATCTGCAGCTGCTGAACCAGATGCGGTTTCATTGCATGAAAAAATCAACATATCTCCTGGTACCTGGTATGCAGCTATTGATTTTCCCAGGGCTTTGTTTCTTGATACCTTTTACTAAAGACCACCAGAAACCATTTTCTTTTGGTTGGCAAGGCTGGCAATATACGTTCCCTGTCCTGCCCCAGGAGTATATCAGCTCTCCAGACTTAAGTCATAATCTAGTTCACAGATCTTGATCACCTTTCCTTTCACAAAATATAACACTGTCATCACATTGATGACATTATGCTGGTTCGACCCAGTGAGAAACAGCAGACACTCTAGATTTATGAATAACACACATTTGTGTGTAAGGTGGGAAATAAGTGTGATGAAGAATCCAGGGCCTTTTATTGTAGTGAAATTTCTAGGGGTCCGGTGGTGTGGAGACTGCTGAGTTATCCCTTCCGCAGTGAAGGATAAGCTGTTGCATCCGTCTCCTTCAATAATTAAGAAAGAAGCCTATTTGGATTTTGGAGGCAACACTGTCCTCATTTGGCTCTGTTACTCTGGCCCATTTACTGAGTGACCTGAAAAGCTGCTAGTTTTGGGTGGAGTCTAGAACAGAGAAGGCTCTGCAACAGGTCCAGGCTGCTGTGCAAGCTGCTTTGTTACTTGGGCCATATAATTCAGCAGATTCAGTGGTATTCGAGGTATCAGTGGCACAGGGGGAATGCTGTTTGGAGCCTTTGGCAGGCTCCTATAGGTGAATTATAGCAGAGGCTTTTAGGATTTGGGGGCAAGGCCTTGCCGTCATCCACTGCTTTTTTGAGAGACAGGTTCTGTCTTGCTACTGGGCTTTAGAAGAAACTGAATATATAACCATGGGCCACCAACTTACCATGTGACCTGAACAGCCTATTATGAACTTGGTGTTATCCAACCTACCAAGCCATAAAGTTGGGTGTACACAGCAGCACTTCATCATCAAATGGAAATGATGAGCCCCAGAAGGTCATGAAGGCAAAAGTAAATTGCCTTATGAAGTGACCTACGTGTCCATGGCTCCTCCTGCTACACTGCCTTCTCTCTCCCAGCCTGCACCTGTGGCCTCATGAGGAATATCCTATACTCAATTGACAGTGGATGAGAAGACTAGGGTCTTAATGAAAGATGGTTCTGCATGATATGCAGGCACCACTCAAAAGTGGATGGAAAATCAGTGGCAAAGAACTTTGAGAAAGAGGTATGTGAATAGATCTCAGTGGGCAAAGGATATGAAGATATTTTTCAGCCATGTGAATGCTCAGCACAGGAGGACTTTAATAATCAACAGGATAAAATGACCTGTTCTGTGGCTACCAGTCAGCCTCTCCTTCCCAGGCACCCTGTAATCACCTAATGGGTTTATGGCCATGGTGGAGGGGATGGATGTTATGCATGGGCTCAGCAACATGGACTTCCACTCACCAAGGATGACCTGGGTATGGCCACCACTGAGTGCCCAGTCTGCCAGCATAAACCAACACTGAGAGCCTGATTTTGCACCATTCCCTGGGGTGATCAACTGGCTACCTTGTGGCAGGTTTACACTGGATGACTGCCATCATGAAAAGGGCAGCATTTTGTCCTTTCTGGAATAGACACTCTGGATACAAATTTGAGTTCTCTGCATGCAATGCTTCTGCCAAAACCACCATTTGTGGACTTAATGAATACCTTAGCCTCAGTCATGGTATTCCACACCATATTGTTTCTGACCAAGGAACTTGCTTTACAGCCAAAGAAGTGCAATAGGCTCATGCTCACGCTCATGGAAGTCACCGGTCTTACAATATTCCACATCATCCTGAAGCAACTGACTTGATAGCTCAGTGAAATAGCTTTTTGAAGTTGGAGCTACAGTGCCAGGTAGGTGTGCGTACTTTGCCTGGTTCGACCAAAGTTCTCCAGAAGGCTTTAATGTTCTGAATCAGCATCCGATGTATGACACTATTTCTCCCATAGTTAGGATTCACAGGTTCAGGAATCAAGAGGTGGAAATGAGAGTGGGGCCACTCACCATCACCACTAGTGATTCACTAGCAAAATTTCTGTTTCCTGTTCGCATGACATTATATTTTGCTGACCTACAGGTCTTGGTTTAAGAGCAAGGAATTCTTTACTAGGAGACATAACAATAATTGCAAAGAACTGGAAATTAAGACTGCCACCAGCCAGTTTAAGCACCTCATGCCTCCAAGTTAGTAGGTTAAAAAGAGAGTTAAAATGTTGATCAAGGTGACTGATCTGAAGTATCAAGGGGAAATTGGACTTGTACTCCACAATGGAGGTAAAAAAGTGTATGTTTGAAATACAAGAAATCCTTAGGATAGTCCCTTAGTATTATCACGTCCTGTGATTAAGGTCAATGAGAAATAACAGCAGCCCAATCCAACAACAACCCAATCCAGGCAGGGCTATGAATGGTCCAGACCCTTCAGAAAGGAAAGTTGGGTCACCCCACAAGGAAGTATATCAACCACAGGAAGGCAAGGCAAAGAGAATAAAGAATGGGTAGTAGAAGAAGCTAGCAATAAATAGCAGCTATGGTACTTACCAGTTCCTGGTAAGGCAAAGAGAATAAAGAATGGGTAGTAATAAATATCAGCCATGAGCACATGACCAGTTACAGCAACAAGAACTGCAATTGTCATAAGCATTTCCTCCCTATTTCATTAAGAACATGTTTGTGCACACACACACATATGTACATATATGCATATAGTAAACAAATATTTTTATTTTCTTTCCTCTGTAATTCTTTTATCATGTAACCTTAGATTGAACTTTGGATCAGTACTTAAGTATTTATATATATATATGTAAAACATCATAGTAGTTTTCCCATCTATTTCATTTCATTTCTAAGAACACCATGATTAATTAGCAAACACCATAGGTCTACAGGAGTCAGACTATTCTGATTGTTGCTTTGCCTCTGCTGTCCACTTTGTTAACTATACCCCCATTTCCTAGGCAGCTGATTGCCACCACTTAGCTCCTGCCACCTAAGGGAATAATGGGAATCCAATTATTCCCATTGCATTTCAGTTTTCCAATTGAGTGGCTACAGTCCTTACTGTAATGTCTAAAATAATAGAGAATGGCTATCACAGAGCTTTTCAAGGATACTGATGCTCCCCTCACAAGTCTATTTCTCAAAGCATTCATGAAAAGTGTATCTTCTGAACCCTCCCAGTGTGGGTGAGTAGATTTTATGTGACAAATCAACTTTAGCATTTTAATCTCCCTAAGCCTTTGAATCCCTTCCTGTACATTAAACCGTGGGAGATCAGGCTTCTTCACCTTGTTCACAGTGGGTTATCTTTGACTCATGTTTCAGCCAACCAACAAACCAGTTAGTGCCTTAACTCTCAGAGCTGCTACATTAAATTCAGAATCTCTGCTTAGTGGACCCATGTCAATAAATTCAGCCTCAACCAACTTTATATCCCTTCCACCTTTATCCCACACTCTTAATAGCCATTACCACATATCTTCCCCAGATTTCTGCTTGTATAAATTCTAAAACTCAGGTGGTTCTCTTGGAATGTAGTGCACCTTCTCATGGGCCACACCTTGTACCTCATATTTAGGGACCTGCTGGGACTAGAGTCTTGTTATAGGTATAGAAACAAAAAGGGGTGCTGGGGGTGGGTTCCTGGGAGAATCAGCATTGTCTTGTCTGGTAACTGCCTCAGGGGAGGTCATTGCTGTTTCCCAGTTCCCAGGCAATGCAGTTAATCCCCTCAGACAGAGGTGTAACGGCCACTGTGGGAGGGGATGGAGATGCCACTACCACTGGGGATGGGAGTCCACTTCCCCTGGCAAAAAAAAAAAAAAAAAAAAAAAAGACTCATCAAAATACTTCTATGTCTCCAGAGGTATCAGGGTCTTCCCACATCTTCCCATCCCAACTTACAGGGTCTCATTCTTTCCCAGTTAATGCCCTCACTTTAATAATACATACCTTAGCCAGGCGCAGTAGCTCTCACCTGTAATCCCAGCACTTTGGGAAGTCGAGGCAGGAGGATCACCTGAGGTCAGGAGTTCAAGACCAGCCTGGCCAACATGATAAAATCCCATCTATACTAAAAATACAAAAATTAGCTGAGTATGGTGGTGGGCATCTGTAATCCCAGCTACTCAGGAGGCTGAAGCAGGAAAATTCCTTGAACCTGGAAGGCTGAGGTTGCAGTGAGCCAAGATCATGCCACTATACTCCAATCTGGGTGACAACAGAGTGAGACACCATCTCAAAAAAAAAAACAGTAGATACCTTGTAAGGCTGAAAGTTCACCTCTCATTGTAAGACAGCCAATAGCATGATGAAGGCTCGTGTTTTATGGCCTAGACTCTGAGTCCATAAAAGGCCCCAGCCAATTGTATAGTGTCTGCCCACGTTGAGGATGGGTCTTCCTTCTATTCTGAGTCCATAAAAGGCCCCAGACTCAATTTCAACCCTATGGCTACATGAGAGAA